TTCCATCACAATTACTTGTGTATTACACATCACCAATTTAGAAGTTACTGTGTAATTCTGGCCATGTTTTTTTTCCTGCTTGAGTCGTTATAAATTTTTTTTCGTCCCTCACCCTGCTTTGTAATAACGACCGAACTCATCCGAGAACGTCCGATCATGACTAATTAAATATTCACGTCCAGTAATCCCACCATAAACCCGTCAAGTGTTATCTGTTGACCAAATAGTCGGCAGAAGTTATGGTAACAATAACATCAAAGGGAGTTCACTCTCCTTCTTTTTTTAGCTTCATGCATGAACACTACTATTGAAGATCCAACGGGGCAAATGGGTGAAAATTAAACAAATTATAATGAAGGTGTAATATGCAGTCAGTAAACGTCCTGGGTGTTTCTGGGTCAGTCAAATTGATCATGGGTACTCTGGCTCAACTTGGACAAAAAAATATTTAGTCTATACATGGAACTATAAACCTTATAGTTCCATGGTCTATATAACGGGAACAGGGGCATGCTACCAGTGGGTATCCCTTTCAAGTAAGCTTAGTTATAATCTTCTACCAAATTAACACCTTAGAGAAACTGATAATAAATCTATGTCAACACCACTGTTACATCCTCTCCTGTTTCATAAGCCAAACATGGCTGCCAGGGTGTAGCTACACAAAATGAGACAATTTTGTGGTTGGAATATAATCAGAAAAATTAAATTTGATCAAAACTTGAATAGCCAAGTCCATTCTATTGATGCGAGTGAAACTAAAAATTAAGTTTTTATTCCATTATGAAATCAGGAAAGGGAAACAAAAATGGTAAGTTTTCTCTGCAAGGAAACAAAACTGGCTAAAAGTAAACAATGACCTGTGAAAATTTGTGTCATTATAACAAGTGGATTTTTCATCATATTTAGAACAGATATAGCATAGTGCACTCATTATACACTGACCAATGGGAATACTAGTAAATACTGTTTCAGATGTATAAATCTTCTAGGGAGGTTATAACCCACATTGCACATAGGAAACTGGATTTTCTTTTGTCTCAGACAGAAGTTGCATGTCCCTGTTT